AATCTCTCAAGCAATTCATAGCATCATTATTGTGACTTAGACATTGAACTTCCAAAAATTTTGCTTTACTACTCTACTTTGGCTGAGTATATTGAGAAACCCGTTTTGACCATTTTGCAATGAAAACGGCAAGGCGAAGAGTAAGAGTTTCAATAAAGTGGTATCTCTGAATAGAATAGGGATCAAATGCATAGTCATCAGAGTACTCTGAAGACGGATAGAGCTTGATCGAAAAGTCAGATGGCTTCAATTAAAGAATATTATATACGCTGTCTTTCCGTTTGTCACTTACCAAAGCATCATCATGTGATATAATATTATAATATATATTTATCATATTAACTAAATTATGTATTACAGCATCATTAAGGTCGATACTACATTCAGTTTGATAAGAAACGAAATGAGTTACAGGCCTTCTTTCAGTTACAGGGAAGCTAGTAGGGCTGCATTTACCCGAAATATTTTTTACTGCTACCAGGGTTAGTTCGGTCGTGTTTGGGAGTTGCATGGTTCATAGAGAAATAGAGTAATTACATAGTTTCTATGCATAGAAAATGTATTGGAGAGAGTAGGATATATTGGAAAAATGAATTTTTGTAACTATCGGAATATGTCTCGCATTTACTTCAATGATACGCCACTCCTCCAACACAAAAATGCGGCGCGATCTCTCTCTTAGTGCCAGCAGCCAAGAGTGTCACATATTTTAAATGTCATCTGTACCGTTTGACAGTCGCTACTGCGCCTTACCTCTTAGCCTCTTTCATTTCCTGATGATGCGTCAAAGAAGCATGAAACATTAAGTACCAGTTTGGATTAAAACTTACAGTCGTTCTACTGCAAGTCTGATGCTTCACTGAACGACCTAATCTAACACAAGAAGCTACCCTCTGTCATAGGAGAAAATCCAGGGCAGCTGCTTTCAAAGAGCAGAACTTTGAAGCATATGGCCTACTGAGAGCACCAACGATCACTTTGATTAATTAAACGTTTTACCATTATTGAAATATGCACGTCTGTTTGTTGATAATGATCATTCGATTCATAGGCTGTTTTCATATTTACGCTAGAGGCTGTGACTGTGACCTCATGGGCAATGACGATTGCCAACAACTCACTGATGAATTCTTGTTTTGCATTACTCGATGAGTATCACAAAACAGTGTTTGCGTATGATTAGACTTTGTGAAGTCAAAATGCACTGTCTGATGAGCAGTGCTGAAATAACTTACTGTTGATATTCCGATTGCACGTAATGAAGATAAATATATGAAGAAATGAACAAACGAGTCACTGAACGAAAGCATGAATGAATGACTAATTGAATTACTGAATGGAGATGACAAAACGGTATCATTGTTAGGATATCAGTCCTCCTTACTTTAAAATGGCCTCGTGCTATATGCAGTCCCACTAATTCATGATGATAATAGTGCAACGTGAATTTCTTTTTAGGTCACATCAGCGGAAAATGTCTTATTGGTATTTTTTCTGGCCGTTTTTTTCTGGGTATTTATGGCCATATTGGCACCATTGTGACCACTGCAAGGCATAGGCTCTCATTTCATTCCAGTGACACTCAACTGTTTATTTTGGAAGAAGGAAAAGCCTTGCACCAGATTGGGGATCGAATCCAAGACCCCTCGATTGTGAGTGCAATGCTACGCAGACTGAACAACCCTTGTCGGAATGAAAGGATGTGTGAGATAGGGGACGAGAGAATAAGTCAGATTTCATAAGCAATTTCAAGGGGATTAAGAACAGATTGCCTGTTTTAAGTTCTGCGACATTTAGCAACTTCAGGGGTCTAACGAAGGACTTCCGGTCCAAACTAGTGCGGCATTTTATTACAGGTGCGCAGAGGCCAGAGTCAGGCATGAACGCCAAGTTTCCGCCACAGCTTCTGACATTTACAAGCTAAAGAACGTACTCACAAAATACCAACCGTATATGTCGAGCAGCAGAAGGGCAAGTTTGGAAATTCATTCTCATCCTTCAGGGTAGTCCACTGTTATTTTCATTAATCACATCACATGTAATCAACTTTGCTAAGGTGGTATGAGATGTCCTAGGGATAAAATTGATCCATTGAAATTCTATCTTTAAACGTTTTTAAATAAAGTTATTGAAGATTTCGGCATTTCCGAGTATTATTACATCCACATGCCCTATTTCAATGCTCGTTGCCGGGAAGGCACTTCCAGGAGGTCTTTCCTACAGCCCGCGTCTCCGCCAAACAATCAAACACTAAAGGCACTGAATTCTTAGAGGCTACAATGCCAAATACTCATCATGCTAGAATTATTGGATCTTGTTACTGTGTCTTGGCATCGCCACGTGTTTACAAAAAGAGGATCCATCTTGAATCTTGATATCAAATATCGTGATCTAGTTTCCAAACAATTATAGCAAAAATCTGAAGGAGAGGATGCTCATAAGCAAGGATATCGCTGTTTTACTTGCTTCAACGCATGATCAGACTTTTTCCTTCCGACGGTAGTTTGAAAGTCTCTGTTCGTAATTTACAATAACCGGCACTTAACGCTGTTCATCCATAAATAGATGTTAATGACATGACAGGTTTTGCTCTGGAAAGAAAGTGTGGCGACCTGCTGCAAATTGAAGCTATATGCTAACGTGCGGGATCTTAATTATGAATTTGTACCACTTCCTGGCCTGATACGTTTAACACGCTCGATTTTTTGCATGATGCACTTATGCATGTGTCACGTTCAACAAATATATTAGGAGTTACGGTTCGAACAGTTAATTAGGCCAGTAACGTTCTAATTTTTGCATAACCTCTAATATGATGTAATGCGAACAGTCGAAGTTTGGTCAACGTACAAGGCACCTTTGTTTTCCATAGCGGGGATTGCTCTAAATGAAAGCGATGTGGCTCTAGGAAGCAAAACGACGCTAGATGCGTCTGGTAGAACATGCACACAAATGCCATAAGGCCACAGCTTGTTTAAATGCTCCCCTCGCCATGCGACTGAAGGCAAGGTTGGGGGAGAGGTCGAATACGCCGTGAGACTTGGTCTTGGACTAGTCTGTGTTATTTGGCGTCTGATGCCATGTTTCACGTGACATCAACGTATTCCGAAAGTTTGCGATGCAGTGCTCCTTCATGAAACTTTCGAAAGAAATATCCATCATATGCTGCAAGGTATGCAAATAGATATTATAAGGACAACTGTTGAGTCCAAGTTTGCATGTTAATGATATATTTTTCAGTTATGCGTACGAGATGTCGTTTTAATGCTTACTGACAATGAACGCCCTCGGTATTGCGTACTTTCTGCTGGATCAGGATTTTGCAGAGGGTATTGAGGATCTGCTTCGGGTACATGACGTCTGGCAGGAAGGTGGTCACTTCGCTGAACT